ATGCAAAAGCAAAGCAAAGAGTAACTGTGTATTGAATGACCTCCAGAAATCAAACGCTTTTCTTTCCTGTGCATTTGCATCCTAGGACACTGCAGATATGACAAAGATGACATGAACATGGCCCCAGTTTAGAAAAACATTTTTTTTTAGCACATACATGATTGCTATGGAACTTAAAAGGATAGTTCATCCCAAAAATAAAAGATCTGTCATAATTTACTCAACCAAGTTGCTGGTGTCCATTAACTTCCATTGTAAGTCAATGGGGACCAGAACCTGTTTGGTTATCCACATTCTTCAAAACATCCTCGTTTGTGTTCAGCAGGACATACTATTTTATCATAAAAGTTTCTATGACAGAATTTTTGGATGAACCATCCCTTTCAGTGTTCATCTGCAGGTGTAAAAGTGAACAAAACCAACAAAAATGTGCTGTGCATAAGGTGCAGGTTTGTTATTGTGATGATGATCTCAAAGTCCTGGAAGCAACCTACTGCCTCCTAGAGGAAGAAAAACTGATTGCGACACCACACAGTTCAGATCAAGACAAACTAAACAATAAAAAAAAAAAAAAAAAAAACTTCAGAATTAACAATACCAATAATTAAAAAAAAGAAAATAATTTAATATTACCCAATCCCAAAAGCATTGCATTCACATTTGTTAAGGACATACATGTAAAAAATAATAATAATAAGCATGTCTGTTTAACTATCCCGTCTCAGTAGATGGTGCGAGTAGATGCTTTGAGATGTTGTTTTTACAACATATACATCATCGTGTCACCCAGGTCAATAACAGCAAGGTGATTTGTTGTTGCCTCGCTCAAGGAATGCCCAGCAAACACGCGTTTATGATATTAACACACATACAAATACGACATTGGAACGGTTGAAAAGAACACATTGCAAATATGGCAGATGATCAATACCATTTCAAACATCAAACAGTACCAATAAACAGTATTGCAGAAACGGAGCAATAACAAGACAGACAGATTCAGCCCTTTTTCAGATTAAACTGAATTAAAGATGCCCCATATACAGCAAAACAAATCAACCAAATAATAAATAAGTGCAAACATGTAGGACAATCCGTGATTAGATTGGTGGATTACTGTTTGAACTTCAATGTTTGCGCATCATTTCATGCCAAGGTTCATGTAAAACAAGTCAATCTTTAATATGTTCACAAATTCTGTTACCTCACATATTAATTATAAAATTATGTGCTGTCCAAAAGACATGGAATTGATAGTTTCCATTTTTAATAGTACATATAACTATTAATGAATCGTTTCCCATTTGATACTTTTTTGATAACACGAAGAGTTGCCGGGGAAAACAACAACAACAACAAAAAACATAAAAAGGCATGGAACTTACCTCAGTGAAATGACTGACCAAAACTCTTCAAAATACACTATTAATGGCTTGGGTTTTCAGATGAGCAACAATACAAACGGTCAGTGTAATGAAAAACAACGGTGATCACCTGATATTGCTTAGTGGTTCTTTTCAAGAACGCCACTTGTAAAATTATTTAATGAAAAACATGTTTTTGTTTTGTTTTTTCAAACAAATACCAAACGATGTTTAATGCATTGTATAAATGATGCAAATACATCACATCTGGAAAGGGGGGAGGGATCATCTGCAACAGATTTCGAACCTTCCAATGATCACTTAGGACGAAAAATGTTTTGTTTCCCAGATTAGCAGCACAACCATTAATAACTCATGCACGAGTAATACTGTTAACTGGCCAATTGAGAATGATTTGATTTGGATATACACGACTTAAAGGACTCCAGTTTAAAACTATCATTTGTACTTTTTCCTAATGTGCCCTATGTTTCTCGATGTACACCTAAGCCCCTTCCCTTTCATGACTTGACTTCAGACACCGCTTTCGACAAAACCGGTAAAAAGTTTCAGGTTGGATCGAATCAAAACCAACATCGCAAATGCTGCGCCAGGAAAAGTGAACAAAACACAAACTTTTACAAATTTGGCCTTCCACAAGCGAATCCCACCTCGATTCTTCCATGGGAAGAGATATGAAAAGTAAAGATCAAGTATAATTATATATCTACGTCGATATATAGATTTTTTAAACGAGCTGGCTGAAAACGAAGCTGGATCTTGGATTCTGTGAGCCACTAGTTTGGTTTGTTCCCGCATGCAGCAACGGTTTCCAAAGCGTTAGCATGCAGCCCCTGCCGCAGAGCCTGTAGAGATGATGCACTACAGACTACAGTAACAGGACCATGCTTGAAATCCACCAATGAGCCTCCTTGATATCTGTCGGAGAGCCACCAGGACCATGGTGTCTGAAATCATGGAGAAGGTGATCTAAAGAGACACATTTGGTAATGAGTTCAATGACTTGGCGGTCTACATGTCTTAAGGGGATATCGGTGACGTGCTGAAAAGTGGGCGGGGCATACACAGTTCCCAGCCTGTGAACCCCGCCCATTAAAAGAAAAAAATATCTTGTGCAGCAGAAACCAACGAACAAAAAAAACTCAAATGGGAGAACAGAACCTCGAAATATCTTCGAGTGTTATTAAAAACTCTCCGTTGCAGGATTTTGTTTTTGGTGTCTTTTTTTCCGTATCGGTTTGAACAAAATCGTTAAATTTGACAGCGTTTCGGGAACTCCCTGGTGGTTTGGATGTGCAATATACGGAGTGTGAGCGAGTGGAAATGCTAGGAAACAGCCTCGATCTGGTAGCAGTCGTCGTCCGGATGAGGGTCGGGTTTGGCTTCAGTGGTGCTCTTGGGTTTGGGAGGCCAGTCGGGATCCACGCTCAGCTCTTGGGCCAGGTGCATGTACCGAGCCTTGGGCACTTTTCTCCGTCGGCAGCACAGCCAGGAGAGGCATTTACTTCCATACAGCTCTATTCCTTCCTACATACACACACACACACATCGGCCAGAGAGGAACACAGGGGAAGGTTTTATCCTTTTCTTCAAAAGAGAATTCAAACCTGTAATGGAATCGCTGTAAACTACAACAAAATGAAATGTGATATTCATATTCATCTGCAGAAACATTGTCAGAGCCTTTGGTCTGTCTGGAGAGTATGTCATGCCTCTGAGCACATGCAAGGGTAATGAATTTGTATTCTTATCCAAATTAATACCAACATTTCAATGAAATATACACTCACCTAAAGAATTATTATTAGGAACACCTGTTCAATTTCTCAATGCAATTATCTAATCAACCAATCACAAGGCAGTTGCTTCAATGCATTTAGGGGTATGGTCCTGGTCATGACAATCTCTTGAACTCCAAACTGAATGTCAGAAGGGGAAAGAAAGGTGATTTAAGCAATTTTTGTGATTTAAAAAATTTCACAATCTGCTCAGTTACTGGGATTTTCACGCACAACCATTTCTAGGGTTTACAAAGAATGGTGTGAAAAGGGAAAAACATCCAGTATGCGGCAGTCCTGTGGGTGAAAATGCCTTGTTGATGCTAGAGGTCAGAGGAGAATGGGCCGACTGATTCAAGCTGATGGTCAAGCTGACTTTTGACTGAAATAACCACTCGTTACAACCGAGGTATTCAGCAAAGCATCTCATCACAACACGCACAACCTTGAGGCGGATGGGCTACAACAGCAGAAGACCCCACTAGGTACCACTCATCTCCACTACAAATAGGAAAAAGAGGCAACAATTTGCAAGAGCTCACCAAAATTGGACAGTTGAAGACTGGAGAAATGTTGCCTGGGCTGATGAGTCTCGATTTCTGTTGGTAGAGTCCGAATTAGGCGTAAACAGAATGAGAATATGGATCCATCATGCATTGTTACCACTGTGCAGGCTGGTGGTGGTGGTGTAATGGTGTGGGGGATGTTTTCTTGGCACACTTTAGACCCCTTAGTGCCAATTGGGCATCGTTTAAATGCCACGGCCTACCTAAGCATTATTTCTGACTATGTCCATCCCTTTATGGCCACCATGACCCCATCCTCTGATGGCTACTTCCAGCAAGATAATGCCCCATGTCACAAAGCTCGAATCATTTCAAATTTGTTTCTTGAACAATGAGTTCGCTGTACTAAAATGGCCCCCACAGTCACCAGATCTCAACCCAATAGAGCATCTTTGGGATGTGGTGGAACGGGAGCTTCGTGCCCTGGATGTGCATCCCACAAATCTCCATCAACTGCAAGATGCTATCCTATCGATATGGGCCAACATTTCTAAAGAATGCTTTCAGCACCTTGTTGAATCAATGCCACGTAGAATTAAGGCAGTTCTGAAGGCGAAAGGGGGTCGAACACAGTATTAGTGTGGCGTTCCTAATAATCCTTTAGGTGAGTGTAGTTTTATGCTTTAGCTAAGCTCAAATGGTATTAAAGAGAATGTTCCGGGTTCAAATCCATGGCATGCTTTCAGTTACCACAGAAAATAACTTTGACTTGTCAATGTAATGTGCTTTCAATGCAAAATAGAAATACTAAGTATATGGGGAAGGATACTGCGTGTAGAAGCATTAAAATAAGTGCTTTAACAAAAATATGAGTGTATAGCATTTCATCTTCAAAACCCTTCTGAAGGATTGCTTCACAGACTTATTATAGACAATATTTGCTTGTTTTAATAATCTAAGGGCTCAAAATTATTATTATTTTTTTTAATTGAAGGCAAGCCACAGATACTGTCTATAAAGCTTCCTTTTAAACCCGGGACACTCCTTTAAAAGAATATTCCAGGTTATTTGCAATCTTTTATTAAATATTCATACAATTTATTGATGAGCTAAAAAAAAAAGTAAACCCTGATTAATTTCTCAGTATCAGTGTTATTATTCTTAAAGGGATACACACTTCTTTTTTTTTTTTGGAAATAGGCTCATTTTACAACTCCCCCAGAGTTAAACAGTTGGGTTTTACCATTTTCTAATTCATTCAGCAGATTTTCTGATATTTAGAAGTATCCCTTTAACTAAAACTATTTTAAAAATTAACTGTTTTCATGAAGCTGATTTTTTCTATTAATGAAAAACGTCAACTAAAATTATGTGTAAAGTATGTAATACTAAAATAACACTACTCCATGTCTGCATGAGTACATCAAACAAAATGGTAACTTGAAGTTCATCCACCAACAAAAATAGTCTCAATTTAAAAGGATGAATAAATTATTTGTCTGTGATCATCGACAGCAGGCCACAGACTTGTTCTGAACCCAGAGCATTCATTTAAAGGAATATTCTCAGTTATTTACACTTTAAACAGGACATATTATGCCCCTTTTTACAATATGTAATGCAAGTCTCAGGTGTCCCCATAATGAGTCTGAAGTTTCAGCTCAAAATACCCAAAGAAAAGTATTAATTTCTTTAAAAAAAACCATCTTACTCACCCTAAACTTTTGAACAGTAGTGTAGACTAAAAAAAGTAAACCTGGTTGTTTTAATTAACATGGCACTGCTAACTATAAATTAGCTAAGCTAAACCAGAAGTAGCAATAACTATCCCGACTTTCCAGTTGCAAACAACCCAGAATATTCCTTTAACCAAACCAGATGCTTTATAAACACACAACATATCAGAACTTTAGTGCAAGTTTCGCAATTCATTATGTTAGACGTTAAATATTGCTCTGTTTGGCACATACCTGCACCGTCATTCCAAACACGGTTGAAAAAGACGCATAGCTTAACACACGTATGCAGTAATTGCCACTACAGGAGGAGCATTAGAGGGAAATGGGGGGAGGGGGAGGAGGGGAAATCGTAAGCCCCCGGAGCATGACAAAACAAGAGTCCCCACAGGGGGCACTAGAGAGCGTTCAGAAAAAATCATGTTGGCGCATGCAAGGCCAAACGTTAAAACAGGGTGTTGAGTGAGAGGGAAAGAGAGAGGTTGAGAAAGAGAGAGAGGGAAAATAGTGAGAGTGGGAAATAGGGCGGAGTGGACACCAGGAAGTGAAAAGGCAACGGTGAACATAAGTTTCAGATTTTTCCCAACCTGTGGTGTCGGGCCTGCAGGGGAGACGCCATAGCTTCCCTGCTTGTCTCTGCTGAACACATGCTTCCATAAGATGACGTCAAGCACGACGGTCTAAAGAATATCGCAGTAGGGCGGAAAGAATGAAGAGAGCTACGGATCACATGGCTAGCAAAAGATTTATGGTCATCAATTTATTATTTTTTTTTTTTGCTTTTTCCTTGTCAAGAGCAAAACTAAATACATTTCTTCTTGATTTTTTTGGATTGTGTGTTAGTTAAAGAGAAATAGAGGGATGCAAGAGAATTATTTTATTCTGCCCTAAAAATAATCAGTTTATTGGCAATGAACATCCAACGAGATCACAGAATCGGGTCCCACTGATTGGTTGCTGGAGTCTAGTGTTCTATGATTGACAGGTGAGAGAGAACGGCTGAGGAGGAGCGTGACCTGTAGTCCGCACCAGGAAGACGGCGGGATCTAGAGGCGAAGCAAACAGCCGCTATATGCCACTATATGAGCTATATGCCGCTATATGAGTAATAGTAATTTGACCTTTTCTTTGGGATTCAGAGGCAGGAGCTGCTGATGGAATCAGACAATTAATGGCCTGGCTGGCTGTATAGCTCAAAATATAACTTCTGTTTCCTTATCCTGTGAATCAGCCTCAGCAGAGCAGATATGATTTACTTGTGTAGGGATGGGAATCACTCCAATTTATTAATGATTCTTTTAGTGCTATATATGAGCAATATTATTTTTTTGTAATTTATTTAATAACTTGAAATTCTTATTCATCAAATTAACTGCAACTTGATCAAGCTAATTTTTTTTGGCTCAATATTCATTGAAAAGAACTGATGTTTTTAAAGAGTAATTTGTTGTTACTATAGAAAAAATTAAATACTGCCCTGCCCCCCAAAAAGTTGGATTTAAATGGGAAAATGCTTAAAGGAGTAGTTCACTTTAAAAAAAAAAAAAAACTACTAACCCCCATGTCATCCAAGATGCACGTTCGTGACTCTCCTGTTCGAACTCATTCATCAAAATGACTCAGGAAAAGATTTGTTCATTTTGACGAATGAGTTTGAACAGGAGAGTCACGAACATGCATCACATAACAGTGCAAGGCGACCATTTGAGCTTATAAAACTTAAACTTTGTAATTTTTCTTTAAATGAGCGATCGTGTCGCTTGATAAGACCCTTATTCATCGTCTGGAATCATTTAAAGCCCTTTGAACAGTTTGCACTGAAACTGTCTTTTGGACCTTGAACCGTTTGGTTCCCATTGAAGTCCATTATATGAAAAACCTTAATTTCTTTTCGACTGAAGAAAGAAAGACGTGAAAATCTTGGATGACATGGGGGTGAGTAAATTATCAGCAAAAGTTTTTTTAAAAGTGAACTAATCCTTTAATAGTCTATGGCTGGATCATTATTGCGGTGATTATAATGTTTCTAGCATGTTATATGTTTGGCAACAGTTCTTCTAATCCTAATTGATGGAGTGTGTAGCTTTTCATTTCTTGAACAACCATGTAGGAAGAAACATCATGGCCATATTCCAGAATGACAATATCACGATTAATCAGGCTCAAATTGTGAAAGAATGGCTGGGAGGAGCATGAAGAATCATTTTCACACATGAATCGGCAACTCTGCTTACATTTACCATACATTTATTGAAATTATTTGTGATGTGCTGGAGGAGACTTTACAAAGCGCTGGACTCTTGCATTGCATTCTTGTTCAAGAAATGAAAAGCTACACACTCCATCAATTTTCCAAACATGCTAGAAACATAATAATCACTGCAATAATGACTCTTAAAGCATTGCCTATTTAAATTCAAACAGCGACTTTTTTCTTTTGACCGGGCAGTGTTTATTAATATATAAGAACTTGTATTTACATGTATATATAGTACTCGAACTAAAGTTTTTCCATGGTATATAAAAACAGAACCAGTTCTGAAGAACCAGATCTTGATTCCCAACCCTATTTTTGTCTTTTTTATTAGCAGTGTACAGTATATGCCATCAAGTACAATTGAGGGTTTTAATTGGGTTACAAGAAGAGCAGTGTGTTATTGATCCTGGCTGAAGAGTCAACTCCATCTTGCATAAATACTGTATATGAACTAGCAATAGAATTACATTGAAATGCAATTTCTTTACATATGTAAATATCCACAACAATTAATGTGGGAGATGACTTACCTCGATGAACACACTCACTATGGTGTTGCCCAGCACAATAAGCACCATAGCCACACGCCAGCTCAAAGGAACACACACGAGCTGAGGAGAATGGACACAATTTCTTAAAACATGCAGCAAGATCAGTAAAAATGTATTTTGAAAGAAATTAATACAGTACTTTTATTCAGGAAAGGGGTATTCAATTGATCCAATGAAACATTAAAGACATTTATAATCTTACAAAATATTTCTATTTCAAATAAATGCATGGTTTTCACAAAAATATGAAGCAGCACAAGCGTCTTCAACATTGATAATAATAAGAAATGTTTCCTGAGCAGCAAATCGGCATATTAGAATGATTTCTGAAGGATCATGTGACACTGAAGACTGGAGTAATGAATGACGCTTCAATAAATCACATTTTAAAATATATTAAAATGATTGAATTGTGAAAGGTATTGAAATAATTGAACAAACAATAGCACATATATTATCTAAACGAATCAATTTAGAAACAACCATACCTCCAAAAATTCATAGATTCCGGAGATTGGGACAAACATGATGAAAAACAGGAAAATGGTGAGAATTAAAGCAGAAAGAACAAACGGCCCTAAAAGAAACAAAACAGACAACCAGAAACACAGTCAATGAAAACCTTTCCCCTGTCAAATCAATTCAGATTCAATATTACAATGATTTCACTCTTTCTTTCTTTTTATTTTAGACATTTATGTCAATTGGAAATTTTCAAAATGTACTCAAACTTCTTGCATAAAATGGGGCGAAAAAGAATATAGAAACCATGCAATTACAAATGATATCAAAACATTCATGCCATATGATTTGTCTGTTACGGTCCACTGTAAATGCATTAAAGGAGCCGTTTGTAAGATTGTGGCCAAAACTGGTACTGCAATCACTTTCAAATTACTGTAAAGCGGTGTATACCCTCCCCTCCCCCTGAATCTCGAGGTTGCCAGATAGGCTGCGGAATCCAACAGTTTGTAATCCGACACGTTTGTATCTGCAGCTGTGGTAACTAGAGAAGAACTGGCAACTCGAATGCTGCAACACTACTGACTTCGTGATTGGTAGATCGGTGGAGGGTGGAGCATCAGACCAAAACACAACATGGCAACATCAACACCAGTCGAGGGCTGCAACTTCACTTTTTAAATGACAATATCCTTTCTGGACTACTAAGTATTTGAAATGAACATGATTTCTTTTATGATTATTTGAAATAGATTTCTTACATACAGCTCCTTTAAGTTGAAAAAGGTTCATCCTTACAGTTCTTGTAGCTGGGCTGGCGGAAAGGTTTTCCTTTGGAGAAAACAACGGCCACAATGAGGTACTGAAACGAGGAGACGAAGAAGAGTGTGGTATTCACATCGTTCTGGATTTCTATTTCTTTGGTCTCGGAGGAGTTATCCATGTGATGAGGAGCAGAGCAGTTGTAGAAACTGTACATTACAGAACAAAACAATGAACTCGAGCAGCAGTGAGATTATTAGATTGTTTTTAATGCAACTATAAGGTTAGGGCACAAAAAAAAATCAGTTGTTTCGCAACTGTACTCACTCTGGCTTGGAGTACCAGTCTAATTTTTGGATCAAGAGAAAGCCCATGATCTGGAAACCCAGGCAAATGAGAATCTGGGTCAGAACTGAGAAGAGGAGAGGAATTGAGACGAGACCAGAGGGAGGTCTTCGGGCGACGAGCTCCTTCCATGCGGAGTTCAAACTCACTAAGAGTGGGTAGGGGAAGCGAAAAAGAGATCAATTACAGCAAAAAGAAACAATAATGTACTTCCAATCAGTGGTGGACAGTAATTAAGAAATTTTACTTAGTCACTAAGGCTGGGTATTGAAACAAATTTTACAATTCGATTCGATTCACAAGCTTGCAATTTGATTTGATTCCGATTCGATTTGATTCAATATTGATTATTTTGGATATCAGTTACAATAAATGGCAATTTTTCTCAATTTTTTGAATCAAATCTCTTAACTAATGCTGTAAACTATGGGAGTCTAGTTGTAGCCTACTAGGCTTCATTACCCTAATATGAAGGTAATAATTAACGGTTTTATAGCTATATAAACACTTAAATTACACTTTTATTTATTTGTATAATTAGAAGATTATATGAAATATAAACATTTAAATGGTGGCTGTCATAAAAACTTGTCAGATTTATTCAAATATGCATTCAATATTGAAGAACATTAAGATTATAATGCATATGAAATATGGTGTATATATTTAGCAAAATGCTCCTCTCTGGAGTTATTTTTTTCTAGCTGACTAACGAGTTTATGTGGGTTTTCTGAGGTAAATATGACGATACATGACATTGATTACAAGCTGTTTAACTGATGTCTTTCCATGGTTGAAACGCTGATTGAGCGAATCAATGTGACATGATACGGATTTCGATAAGTTGCACTCTATCTTTTAACACACTTTCAGATGCTCATTCATGTTTATTTGGCGCTGTGACTGTTATTATTAAGCCGGAAGAGAGATCAGCGCTGCTGCTTCTCTTGAGCTGAGCCAGAGCGATCTCACACCACAGCGCCAAAACGTTATTTATGTTTTTGAATTTCTAAAGAAAATGGACGTAATTTGAAATTTGAGACTTTGTTTCATATCAATAGTAACAAAGGACAAAGATTATTGTGATTTTTTGGATGCGCGCAGCCACGATTCAATGATCCATTCATTCAAATGAAACAGGATGACTAATCGATTCTTGAGATTTAAGAATCGATATCGGTTCGTAAAAAATGAGAATCGATTAATATCTAAAAATAGATATTTATTACCCAGCCATATTAGTCACTTTACTCAAATACATTTTTCAAAAATCTTTTCAAGAATAATTTCTTTAATTTTTTACAAATAATTTTTCTACATTTCACATCACAACATGATTCTTGTTTATTTCGAAGAATACATTTTTTTTTCATAAAACTAAAAAGATAGAACAGGCTAATACAACAGGCAATGCTAAGATAAATTTGAGCTGAACAAGACGACACTCACTGGTGAAGACAATAAGAAGAATGATGGCTATGTCGATGAAGAGAAACTGGAAGTCGCCCAGGTTACTGCCAATCTGAAACGCATTATTAATGGATCAGGGTCGTATAAGCAATCTCAGCGAGAACTAATGTTCTTTGGTTACTCACAATCTGTCTTCAAGCACAGAAACCCAAGTAAAAGGCTGCGTCCGAAATCGCATACTCTCTTGAGTAGGTACTAATTTTAACAAGTATTTACTTCAGAACCTCTAAAAAAGTATAGTATGACTGTAATCTGGACGTACTACGTTCGCCATGTTGTCACTGTCATGTGACCAACCAGCATAACTTCACTGCCATTCATAAATCCTCTCCTGTGGCCTCATGGGATAAAATCTCGCCGGAAGTAGTATATCATCCGGGTATATTTGCCTACTCGAGTACTATATAGTAGGGAAGTATGCGATTTCGGATGCAGTCAAACATGTATATTAACTGCAGATCCGTCAATTGTAGTGGTTGAACTCATGATAGGGGAACTTACGGAGTAGAGAAGGGCGACACTGAGGCACTGAATAATACTGTATAGAGCCATGAACTTAAACACACAGAAGGAGGTGATGAGAGCCGCTCGTCCCTCCCTGTGGAGAGACAACAAGTGAGACTTTGCAAACAAGACATTTAAAGAACATTTATCATTGGGTAAAACGGTCTACAATGTTGAAGGCCAAAACAGGCACCCAGTGATCAACTCACTGTGGTTCATTAAGTGATTTCTGAGAAATGCTGTTGGAAATCGAAATCAACCAAACAAACAAACAGTTTTGTAAACTTTTGATAGATTTCTGTTCTGTGTGTTGCTGAAAAGTAAGCGTTTCTACATAGTACTGGTTGTGTAAATAGGAGAAAAACAAAGTGGGTCGGACCAACGCACTGACCACAAAACACTCTTTAAGCCAATCAGAAGTAAGGGGCGTATCCACACATAATGGGGGAGAAAAAGAGTAAGCAAGAAGGGCATTTGCAGAAAGACTGTAGAGAGAGACTGTAATATGGCTGAGATATTATTACCGAAAAGGGAAATATTATTGGAAAAAGAAGGGTTATTTAGCAGGCAAGAGCTACGACTCGCGTTAATATTAGAAAAGCTTTCCAGCGCTGGAGAAACAAAAGAGAGCCTCTCAGGTTACTTTATTTCTGCTCAATATATGCGAGTAGCTTTGTTTTTGTTTTTTTGCTGTTTCAGACAACCAAGATGTTGTTGCTGCATATTTGCACGAGCTGACTCTGAGGCGCCAGCTAGCCGTTGGCAGTGTTTATTATTTTGGGGGCGGAGCAATGTAGGGAGAGGGTGTTTCATTCAGATAGGGGTGTGTTTGTTTGGATGTCGCTTTCAAATATCAACAGTGTTTCTCAGAAATCACAAACATCACCTTCAAGACAAACTTTAATGAAAAAATTATTAAAAAGTTAAATCAAACCCAAAAGAGTCATTTTATATCTACTCTTTTTCTGGCTATTAGAATTAAACAGGCTGTGTTTTCCATCCTCCTTATGAATTTAGAGGGGAAAAAATTAAAAAAATAAAAAAAAATTGCGATTGTGGTTAAAAAGGACTAAAGAAAGCTCTAGGTTTGCTGTGCTTGCTTGTAGGTTAGCACAAAAAAATTTAATATTTACATATTGTAATATTTCCATTGCAATAACAAAGAATCCAGGAAAAATAACATTTTACAACACAACTGTAAAATTACAATACAAATATCTATGGCTATTTTAATTTCAGAAAGCCCTTATTTTTGGTCTTATTCAGCTGCTTTCTCACTAAGACCCAAACTCAGCATTTTTTGAAAATTCATTTGTATTGATGCTACCCTAATAAAAGGTACCGTTGATGTGTAAATGTGAAACGTCATGCATTTTTGGGTTTCTGAAGTCAGAAGCCACATTTTTGCAGTTAAAATGCTCAATGTTTTGAGTACTGAAACTTACAGTGTGTTGTAGAACAATGAACTGTTTCAAAAGATACTGAAAGTTATGATTTCTCATTACAGGACTGCGTTAAAACAGAGCCGTGCTGTGGTGCAGTTAGGTGACCTGATCAGATTGGGGACGCAGGTGATGCTGGGAGTTGTGGAGGTGAAGGGAGACGCCACTGAAGCCTCCAGTTCTGACAGGGAGATCCCAGCATGAGCTCTCTTCAGTGCCTGGGTAAGAGACAGACGTCAGTAGCTACACGTGACACTTTCAGAACACGTGACGGGTGTAAAAGACAATCCATTCAAAAGGTTTTACAACAGATTTTTAAAGTCTCTCACCCCACAGTCGTTCGCTCCATCTCCACACATTCCTACAAAATAACTGCAGCAGAGAGCAGAAAAAAACAGATTTAGCAAGATTTTTTTCTCGTTGAGAAAGTGGGCGGTACTTGCCAGGGCGGCAAAACTCATTGTCACAATGTTATGGTGTTGTCAAGTCAAATATCAGACTAATCTTGATGATATAGTCTCAAGTTATGGCTCAGGCCCCTCATTCAAGTCTATGTGTAATTTATTTTCAATTTTATCCACTGCCAGGCAAAACTGTAACTTTAATATTTTAGCCAATTAAAGAAAAAGAAACAAACACACAAATACCTTTCAAAATTTGTTGTTAGTAAGTTTATATAAGTATATAGTATATATAAGTATATATATATATATGTAAGATTTTATTATATATATATATATATATATATATGTAAGATTTTATTTTATATAAATATATATGTATATATATATAGCTCATTTTATTTTAAATATATAATAAAATCTTACAAACCCCCAAACATTATAACAGTAGTGTATATTCATCATAGATATTTTCATGACTTTTTAAAAGTTTTTAGAAAAATCACCATTAGAAAATCTCGCAACCCTGCATTTAGGTTGGTCGCACAAAAGGTGCGGGACGAGCTACACACTTAACACATGAGGGTGGGGATTTGTGCAAATTAGATATGAATAGATAATGAGCCATCCTGGTGTGTGTGTGTGTGTAATACTCACTCTACACTCTCCAAAGTTTCAACAAGCTGAGTCTTCTGGTCAGGCGCCATCCTTGCAAATACTGTTCCATGAAGCACCAGCTACAACACCACCACCATAGAGATCACATATAATATTACAATATCATATATTATATTATAATAATATTGAAATTAAATATGCTTTCAGCCAACCTTCTGTAGCAGGTCCTGGAAATGCTCAATAATTACAGCGAAAGATTTTCCGCTCATGGCAAAGTGATACTGTTCCTGTGGTTTCGTCTCAGAATGCCCATCTTCCATTATAATTTCCATCTCCTGTTATCAGAGAACACAAGTACAGAGAGATGCTGAAGCTAAAGCGATACAATTTTGGGGTTTTAAAAATCACCATTAAATCAGACCGGACCATTCTTGTTTGTTTTTTTTAGTTTTTTATGGAATACTGCATTATTTCCACAAATAATTATTACTTTTAAACTTGTGTGGCCTCAAAATGTTTCATCAAAATAACTTCCCCTCCCTCTTGCAGTATCTCCTCTCTGAGGACGGGACAACCTGTCAGTCACATGACATCACAGCAATAGCAAACCACAACCATCCAATCAATTACCAACGGACAAAATTAAGTCTCACCCTACATTTTCTCGTTCAAGAAGTCATTTCACTCGCTTATACATCACAACAGAGAAGAAAAGACTCTGTTTCATGCAGACTTCACTTCCCCAAAGGTTTTTTTATGTATATTCTATGGCCTTGAGTACTTTAATTGTAAGTGTCCTACTGTAAAAGTGATTTAATGCTGGAATAATTTCCTGTGGTAACTGTCAACATGCAAAAAAAGCTTTTGATAGAGCTTCACATGTACCATTCCTGTGACTGCAGTGACAGGTTCTGGCCAGTAGGTGGCACACTGACCTCTAGTTTGGTGGGCTTGTTCGAGGGTTTGCCGGGTTTGTCGGCGTAGTGCCAGTTGATCTTGGCAGCCTGGCCGTCTTTAGGGGGTAGAGCGTCGGCAATAATGACTCGGTCTTGCGGCTGAATCATGCCGCAGTCTCGTGCCACAGAGATGGCCGTCAGCATGTTGTCACCTGCACAAGAGAGGAAAAGATGAAGAAAATAAAAGCAGTGTCCTTTTTAAACCCCATTCTTTTGGACCTGGGTATGCGCATCCATTATACTGGTATAATGGTACTTTTTGTTAGTGAACAGTGATGATGGCTGATATCTGGCAATGGCCCAGTGTTCCTCAGGATTGTAAGCGTGGGTCATTTTACAAACTCAATCTGCTTATGTCGTTCACAATGCTGTATTCAGACTCATCTGAACTTTGGAGCGCTTGGCTGGTAATCTGGAGAGCTGAGAAGCTTATTAGACCAGATTCCAGGAATACCTAATGAATTAAGCTTCAAAGCTCCCAGACTCTTGTCTGTCTGCCCACGGCTGGTCATTGTAAACGCCCTGCCGTCTTCAAACAACATGGGCATGTTCCACTCTTGATAAGCTAATCAAGTAAACTAACACAAATAAGGTAAGCTGTAAGTAACTGAACCAGAATATCCTGTCCCAAGCAACTGCGACAAAACAATTATTATATCTAGCTTCATGGGTAGCACATGCATATTACCGTTCAAAAGTTTAGTGTCAGTAAGATTGTCACATTTTTTTCAGAATAAAAGTATTAATTCCTTTAAAAAACAAAACAAAGTGACAATAAAGACATTTATAAATGTTACAAAAGATTTATAATTTAAAGGGGTGGTAAAATGACATTTTCGCAATAAATCTCTTATGTCCCCAGAGTGTGTGTTTGAAGTTTTAGCACAAAATACCCCACAGATATTTTTACATAGCATGTTAAAGTTGTCACTTTTTAAGGGTTTGCAAAAACGCACTGTTTAGTGCCTGGCCCTTTAAATGCAAATGAACTGCTGCAGAGGGCGGGGTTTCGGTTTTCTTTAAAAGCAAATATCTTCCTTTGCTTTGAACTTTGAGCTTTGATAATGCTGTTTATGCTCAAACAGCAACATTACACACTAACTAAAGTTAGAAACGTGAAATACCCCTATAAATGCTAAGAATCCTGAATAAAACATAAAAAAATGACTGTTTCCACAAAATATTAGGCAGCACAACTGTTTTCAAAATTCAATAATGATCCCAAAAATTCAGCTTTGCCATCACAGGAAAAAAAAAAAGACATTTTAAAAATGTAAACAATTATTTTTAAAATGTAATATTTTATAATATCACTGCTTTCACTGTATTTTTTAATCAAATAAATTTAGCCATGGCTAACATTAGAGACTTTTCAAAAATCTCACTGAGCCCGAACTTTTGAACGGTATTCTATAAAATGTATAGAAAAATGTAGAAATATAATAATAAATAATATTAATATAATAAAAAAAATGTTAAAAATGACCTTTTGAAATGAATATTCAGGAACTGTATTAAACGAACCCAGTTTTTCTGAAATTACACAGTAGCAAGCCATGAAAAAGCCTTGTTTACCTGTGACCATAACGGTGCGTATGTTGGCACGTCGTAGATCTTCCAGAACCCCTGGGGTTTCCGTTTTCAGCTTGTTCTGCATGATAATCAAACCCAGAAAATCCATATTTTTCTCAATTTGATCCCTGTAGAAGACAAACCAAATACAACTTGGCATTAAACGCATAGTGGCGCTACATGATAAATGTCACAGCATAACACTGCAAATACACCTTAATAAAGTGTTTAATGAAGTTTAAACTTTACCTGTTAATGTTCTGCACTTTGTGAAATGTAAGTTTGGACTCTAGTCGTCTGTGTGCCAGCGCGATGACCCGGAAACCCTCTTTGGTGTAGTCCTCCAGAACCTCTGCAAAATCCTCTGGTACTGTGGTGCGTCGTTAGAAAAAGAAAATCCAATGTTGATTTGAAATTCAGAAAAAAGGAGATGATAATGGGCGGAACTTCCACTCACCTGACTCTTTCTTACAGAGGCTTGCCACAACCTCCGGAGCTCCTTTCAGATACGCATCCATGCGTCTCTGTCCAATCTGACGGACGACCACGCTCATTCTTTGCAGGGCGGAGGAGAAGGAGAACTGCCGCACAATACCGATCATATAGGACGCCTGCACGAGACACGACAGAAAGCATGTACACACCAATATACGTTCATACTGAAAATCATACAATTAATAATAGCCTTGGTACATACCGAGAGCTCATAGAGTTCTGACAGTTCCTGAAAGGAAACCACAAGAGATCAGAACAATGTTGTGAATACACTGATATTTTTAAACAAATACTTCAGACCATAACAAGCAAAGAAATGCTCATCAAACATGCATAAAACATTAATGGACAGAATATGTAAATTATCATTCAAAAACTTCAGGTCAGTAAGATTTTTTATTAATATTTTTATTCAGCAAGGATGCATTAAATTGATCAAAAGTGTCAGAGCCGTTTTAATTTACAAATTCCGTTTTCTGTTCCATTCTAATGGTTTGATTATATTTTAATAAATCAATAAGCATGTCTAATTAATTGAATGCTTAAAAAACATTGCGCAGACCGAAGTGCCCGTGCCCTCAGATCACTTGTGGTTACAAGAGGTAAAAACGATATAAATAGTGTTCGTTTTCTCACACAAACCGCTCGTTTCGTGTCTTAGGCCATCAATGTGTACTTACATTTACGAGTCATTAAATCATGTTTAATTTGGACTTCTCTGTGCATGCTCTTTGAGGTGGTGACCATAGACCTCCATTATATGACTGACAGACAAGAACGGTTTGACCTAAAAATATCAAAATTGAAACTACTGCAGAAACAAAGACACCTACATCTTGGATGCCCTTGAGGTAAACTAAAACATATCAAAAATTAATTTCAAAGTGAACTATCCCTTTAAGGCAAAAACACCCAAAAATATACCTTTTGATCAAAAGTAACCATTAAGTCATTTATGATGTCAAAAAAGGTGTCCATTTCAAATAAATGCTATTCTTTTGAATAAAAGTTTCACTATTATTCTCAACATTAATAATATTAATGATAATGATTTCTGAAGGATCATGTGACACTGAAGACTTTGCAGATTTTTAAAAGCTCACCATGTCTTGTTCAGATGATCTTACTGGTGGCGGCAGAAGCTGATTTGGCGGTTTTACGTAAGTGAGTTCAATGCGGTCGTGTTGAGCCGTCTCCTCCTCTGTGGCTTCCACCAAGATCTGAAGACCATAGATTAAGAGTGACACCCAAAAAAATGTTTAAAAAAACAAGTACAACTTGTTCCAAAAGTTGAATGAGGATATAACAATCTGTTCTCCTGTCACAGCAGACACTGACCCAGCCTGTGGCCTCGAACATCTTGAGGTCGAGTGGATCTCCAGAGAGCTGACCCTCAATCTTAGTGAGGGAGTGACAGGTGGCCATGCAGGAGACAAACTTGGTTGTTACTAAACTTTTATCATCTGCCTTTTCTTCTGAATGGTGGAATCTAGGGAAGAGAGATTATTCGGTCAAAAACAGACAACTAAAGTTTCCTCCATGTTAATTACAAAAAACAATTGAGAATGTTTATCTAGTTTATCCTACCTGCCATCTTCTGTTCTTTGAATTCCCCACATGTCCAGACCATCTTCTGTGAGGGTGCCCGTCTGAAATTATACAGAATAATACAATATTTAAAATGTCTAAAAAGGATTAATTTTTTTGTAGTATAAAAATAATTTCTTCTTAATAATAATATTATCATTGTTGTATTGATATCATTTTAGGTATTGTTTAAAGCCCTTTGAAGCTGCACTGAAACTCTCATTTGGACCTTGAACAGTTTGGTTCCCAATGAAGTCCATTATATGGAGAAAATCCTGGAATGTTTTCATCAACCACCATTTTCCCTTACTAACTGTCTCCTTGAAATAAAATCCTGGTTCACTTCAAACTTCCTTAAATTAAATAGCACCAAAACAGAATTGCTTCTTATTGGCACAAGATCAACATTAAACAAACTTCATAATTTTTCAATTCCCATTGATAGTTCCTACATCTCCCCCTCCCCTCAGGTTAAGAGTCTGGGTGTCATCTTAGATAGCACCCTCTCGTTTACGTCTCATGTTAATAATGTTACCCGGTCTGCTTATTATCATCTTCGAAATATCAACCGTCTGCGCCCTTTCCTTACGCCTCATTCCACTGCCATTCTTGTTTATAGTCTAGTCACTTCTCGTTTAGATTACTGTAATTCCCTCTTGTTTGGCCTCCCGCATAAAACAATTCGTAAACTACAAATGGTCCAAAATTCAGCTGCTCGTATTATCACCCGTACCCCCGCTATTCATCACATCACTCCTATCTTACAACAACTCCATTGGCTACCTATCATTTATCGTATCAACTATAAAATACTTCTCCTAACTTTCAAAGTCATTCATGATCTTGCCCCTTCATATCTTTCTGATCTTCTCCATATATCCACATCTGCTCGCACTCTTAGATCCTCCTCTTCCATCCATCTCACTGTTCCCCGTGTCCGCCTTGTTACTATGGGTAGCAGAGCTTTTAGCTGCTCTGCTCCCCAACTCTGGAACTCGCTTCCACCGGACCTCCGTAATATTGATTCCCTCTCACATTTTAAATCAAAACTTAAAACCCATCTTTTTAGAATAGCTTACTCCCTCTGACTATGTTGTATTTTAATTGTATTGTAATTTTTATTGTTTTGTTTTGGATAATATACGGTGACCTTGAGTGTCAAGAAAGGTGCCTAGAAATAAAATGTATAATAATAATAATAATAATCAAAAACCTTAATTTCTTTTCGACTGAAGAAACAAAGACGTGGACATCTTGGATGACATGGGGGTGAGTAAATTATCAGCAAAGGTTTTTTTTTTTTTTAAAGTGAACTACTCTAAATTAAATAAACACATACTAAATAAACAAAACTAAATGATACAAATCATGCAGTTAGCTAATATGTGTTTATCTTAGAACTAGTATATTAGTACATTACTAGTAGTACATAATTAGTACATTTTTTTTTACATAGGGACATAATGTTGACAGTCACCTGATAACAGATCAGGAACAAGCAGTTTCTGTAAAGCTGCTTAGAAACGGCATGCATTTTAAAAAACAAACTGTGATTTAAAAGTTTATTATTTAGCAAAATGTCACCCCAATTTACTTGAATTAATCATAGATTTATAAAAAATTAACCAATTAAATGGCAATGAGTGTGTTAAAGAAGAGTTGTTTTTAAAAATCATGCAGAATATATGACTTATTTCATTTACGACTATTTCAGGACTACTCCACATTTACCTTGTCAAAGCACACCAGGTTCAGCTGCCCACAGATGTTAATTCTTTGAGGGCTGATGGAGAATATCCCCACTTTCTTGAGACGCCGCTGAGCGTAGACGATACCCGCGGTCATGGCTGCCGGCAGCGCAGGCGGCACCGTGATGGTAATAATGTCCAGAGACTTGACTATGATTTGCTTTACTGGTTCCTGCAGAGTACACATCATAATTGGTAGATGCGCTTTTTCCACACTTTATTTACAAGATTAATTCATTCAACAGCTCACATTTTTATTTAGATCACAAATCTGCTCAAAGCTTTACACAAATTCTGTTATATATCCTACAACTAAAAGGAACTGACATCACAACAATGTGATGCTGCTCTTTTTAAGGCAGTAAAGATTGATAAAAACCTGATTTATGATTTTCATGACTAAAGAATAGACAAAGACGATGCTGGCAACAGCCACCAGGCACAGGAGGAACAGGTAGGCGTCCCGGTACAGCTTAAAGTCTGTGGGTTTGGGGTACAGGATAGACCGGATGAGTTGCCCTTTAGCAGTGCTGAAACCTAGAAAAGAAAGAGAAAACATCAAGAAACTACATTTTAAGCATCAGATAGGCAGGACAATTATGCAGTCTACAAAGGGAGTAGTTCACTTTAAAAAAAAAAACCTTTGCTGATAATTTACTCACCCCCATGTCATCCAAGATGTCCATGTCTTTCTTTCTTCAGTCGAAAAGAAATGAAGGTTTTTGATGAAAACATTCCAGGATTTTCTCCATATAATTGACTTCAATGGGAACCAAACGGTTCAAGATCCGAATGAGAGTTTCAGTGCAGCTTCAAAGGGCTTTAAACAATACAAAACGATGAATAGTGGTCTTATCTAGCGAAATGATCGCTCATTTAAAAAATATATATAAAAGTTTAAGTTTTATAAGCACAAATACTCGCGTTCGTGACTCTCCTGTTCCAACTCGTTCATCAAAATGAACGAATCTTTATTCGAGTCATTTGATTCATTTTGATGAACAGGAGAGTCACGAACGCGCATCACAGAACAGAGCAAGGCGAGCATTTGTGCTTATAAAACTTTTTTATTAGATAAGACCCTTATTCATCGTCTGGTGTCGTTTAAAGCCCTTTGAAGCTGCACTGAAACTCTCATTTGGACCTTGGACCGTTTGGTTCCCAATTAAGCCCATTATATGGAGAAAATCCTGGAATGTTTTCATCAAAAACCTTAATTTCTTTTCGACTGAAGAAAGAAAGATGTGGACATCTTGGATGACATGGGGGTGAGTAAATTATCAGCAAAAGTTTTTTAAAAGGTGAACTACTCCTTTAAGGCAGCATCAGATATATCCCACAAAACATTGCAGTAATTCTGGCTTCTAACCTGTTCGCACTACCACAGCCTTAACCATTTCTCCCGTGTAGTAGCGAGTCTGAATGACATTCGTGCCACAGAAGAGTGTATGTCTCTTGTGTTCCTCCGTGCTGTAGATCGTGTCACCATCCGCACCCTTCTTGTCCTGCCGAGGATTCGGAAGGTCCGTCTTGGTGACCGGAACACTCTCACCTGAGAGAGAACAAGGAAATAAACATTTTTATATTTATATATAATATAATATAAATTATATACATGAAAATATATACAAGCATGTGTGTATCTATATCTATATCTATATCTATAAAATAATTATACACAGTGCACCCACATATTTTATGTAAAAACAAACTTTTATTTTGGATCCGATTAATCGTTTGACAGCCCTAATTAATTAACAACATGTACTTATTATAGGTTTAGGGTTAGTTTCATGTATTTACGCATAACGTAAAGTTATTACTATGGTAAGTGCATGTAACAATGACACTGTAAAATAGTTTTACCTATACTTTATTTTACTTACAAATAAAAACAGTATGACTAATTAAGAAATAACTGTTACAAATGATAATATTAGCCATTATTAATAAAGCGAAGATAAAATGATATCTGTAACACTATTTTAAGTTAATTAGCATGATGCTCATGATTTTTAATATCACATAAAATCCAAACAAAATTCAGAAAAGACAACTAAAGTAAAACAATAAATGTTAATCATTTCCAGTAAAAGTTTAACTTAATCACAATAACATTATTATTAATTCAAATTTTAATAAAACTTCAATAATGTTAGAGAACCATTTTGGTTAACATTAAAAATACTTCTAAAGCATTAATTAATCTTAGTTAATGTCATTTCAACAATTACTAGCAAATTTTAAGATGCATCTGTTAATATTATTTAATGGATCTTAGCTATTCTGAACTAACAATGAACCGTTGTAAATGTGTTAACTTGCAATAACAGAGAATAATAAATACAACAGCAAATATATTGCTCATTGTTAATTAATGCATTAACTAATGAAACGTTAAAATATATAGGCTATAATATAAGCTTTTTTGCCCCACTCTAGTGGGCTCGGTTGTTATGACATCACATTTGGATGCAGCCAATCACCTGTGAGCATGCTCTCATTAACAATGCAGGTTCCACAGATGAGCACTGCGTCACAGGGCATGATGATCCCGTTGCTGGGGATAACGATGACATCACCCGGGACCAAGTCTGTGGACAGGGCTTCCTCCGTTTCTGTACGGCAAAAACAGAAGCCAAAGAGAGGGAGGATGGGGAAGGGTGAGCCGTAAAATAAAACCAGTCTGTCTCAGCAGATCACTTATTACCCATGCTTCCTCGTACAATAGGCAGAGTGCCGAGTCATCGTGACTTTGGCCACTACATCAGACTCCCTGAAGCAGGTAACCCAGGCCTGCAGCAGTGTACGTCATTACAAATATACTTAGAGTGAAAAAATGCTTTTTCAGAAGATCTGAGCCGTACCGTTTTCGCCCCTGCAGACCGTAACTCGAACAGTACTGTGTGTTGCCACCATGTCGTGTAGCATTACATATTGCTGAAAAACAAAAGAAAATGTTCCTGTGAAGAACAAATAAACATTTGCGTGTCTAGGCAGCACAGTAAATCTAACAGGCATATAAAATACTGTTAGCATATCTCAGTCTAGCAATCAGAAAATTAGCATCAACTCCAACCTTGGATACGCCCTATGACTAAGAGCTAAGCTTCATATTTCTAAAATCCAAATTCATACTGATCTATTCGAGCCATCAAATCGTTACATTAATGTTACATTACAATAAATGTCTACAGTTTTAATATGCATGATTTGTCAGTGCTTGTTATTCTACAAAAACAAACCTTAAAATGTAAAAGGTTTGTAAAATGACAAATTTTTGTTTGTTTATTGGGGAATTTTTGCCTTTAATGAAAATGAAATTTTTAAATTAATAGTTTATTACATATTTTTAGGGGTGTAAGCATTTAAATATTCAATAATATTACATTTAAAGTAGTATAGTACAACATTTATTGTATGTATAGACTAGAGTACAATAATTATATTATACAAAATATTAAATGTATTAAATATTAAAATTCTAGACTTATACAGGCCAAAACTTTTTTTTTCAGGCATTTTTGTCTTTAATAAAATATATATTTTCTATTTTTTCAGGCATTTTTGTCTTTAATAAAATAACATTACACGACAATTTAATATACATATATAATTATTTATTTGAAAACACTAAATAGAAAACAGCAAGTACATATATATATATATATATATATATATATATATATATATATATATAATTATTTTGTATAGCATAAAATTCTAATTCTAATTAAAGCTGCAAGCAGCATTTATCGGTGTTCAGGTCTTTAAGGCATTTAAGCACAAAAGAATCAAAAGACATTAAGTTGTATGTAGCAGGCATGATTTATCATGATATACTACATTTCAGCTTGATATTACATAATTAACCATGTTCCAATATGATTTATCATAATTTACCATGTTAAAATATGATTTACTACAGTTTAGTTCACACACTCATTTTCAACTTCAGGATAATAGTCATTTTTTACTAAATGTGGTTGTAAATGTTAAAAGATTGAATTGATAAAGTTATACTATGAATTATAGTTGTGTATTGTCTTTATTATATAAGTAATTTTTTTGCTCCAAATGGAAATCCGAGATATACATCTTGTCCGACTTGAGCCAGGGATTACAGTGGTGTAAAAACATTGAAGCTAAGTCAAACGGTCTTGGAGTTATGAGCAATTTAGTACTTTTGGTTGCTGTAGCGCCACCTATGGGCCAATCGGGGTCATACTCTGATAGCTTCTCCACAATTCGAGGCCCTACCACCTGACAAAGTTTCACAGCTCCAGCCCTTACGGTTTGGGCTGCACGATGCGTTTTAGGGGATTTTTTTTTTCTTTCTAGCAAATACAATAGGTTTTCAGCACTTCGTGCCTGAACACCTAATAATGAGAGACCTTTTTGACGATTGTAGCGCCACCTATGATCCGATCCTCACGAAACTTTGCATGCTTCCTAACCATGTTAGGACACATATGCTCGTCGATTTTTGTGAAGTTGTGACTTTTTGGGGGGGATTTAGGGGCTTTTGACTGAATTTTGCCACAGACCACTATCTAAATGAGCCTGTTACAGCCAACCAAATGCAAAATTTCAACTTTTTTTCGATAATTATTGATCTAGAGAGTCCAGAGAATAGGCCTAGACTGGTTTGGTCCCGATTGGGCAAAAATCCAGGGACTAGTTCGCAAAAGTGGGTTTTGGACAAAAACCGAAATAACAATTTTTTTTTTGCTCCAAATGGAAATCCGAGATATACATCTTGTCCGTCTTGAGCTAGGGATTACAGTGGTGTAAAAACATTGAAGCTAAGTCAAACGGTCTTGGAGTTATGAGCAATTTAGTACTTTTGGTTGCTGTAGCGCCACCTATGGGCCAATCGGGCTCATACTCTGATAGCTTCTCCACAATTTGAGGCCCTACCATCTGACAAAGTTTCAGAGCTCCAGCCCTTACGGTTTGGGCTGCACGATGCGTTTTAAGGGATTTTTTTTTTCTTTCTAGCAAATACAATAGGTTTTCAGAACACCTGAACACCTAATAATCCATTAGATTTTTTGAGTTAATGACCAGAACTTAAAAAATCACTCACTTATTATTGGTCAGAGTCTCCCAATGATCCCAATAAATTTTTATATATAAACCATTTTACAAGCCTGCTTACCTTTTTAATAGTGTAGAGAGAGGTAGCTATTGATATGAAGGACATGACGACTATGGCCATTGCGTAGTAATAATATTCATCGGTACACCACAGGATAACACTGAAGAGCTGGAAGATGTAGAAAGGATTGAGGACCTGCAAAAGAGATGGAGAAGTTTCAGTTCCCTTATTTCAAGGGAAGACATATTCTCAACAGCAGAGTCAGCAGTGCTGTGTCATGACCCATGCCGTTCTCCGGCCTGGGTCAGTTTCACATGTCACTCGTACCTCCTTAATTAGCAGCTTGAAAAGAGAAGGCACTTTCACGTCTATTTCATTTAGTCCGAAAAAAAATCTCCTAAAATAGAGAAGAAAAGGACTAAGTGAGATTTGTACAGTCAGTGCAATCCAGTTCAGGGCTCAATAATTAAGATGGCCTCGCCACAAAACCTTTCATTATTAGCGACATGATCTTTTTATGTGTGGAAATATATTTGAAAATATTGGTAACACTTTACAATAATCTCAGAATTTACTAATAATTGTTCAGATTAGCTAATGCACTGCACATTAAAGGTTAATAAATGCTGTAATAAAATATGTTAACACTTTATTTTACAGTGTCCTTGTTAAATGTACTTATTATGCATAAATAATTACAAGCAACTAACCTGAAAACAAACCCAACTCCTAACCCTAAAGTACAAGTTGTTATGGTATTACACTGTAACAAGGACAAGTGTAACCAATATATTGATCATTATTAGTTCATCTATTATTAGTTGCATTAAATAATGTTAACAAATGAGACCTTCTTGTGAAGTTTTACCAAAATATTAGACTAAATAGTGGATTTTTAAGCATATTGTGATTTGTTCATAATGTTTCCATCCATGAAAAATGATGCTTCCAAGTCCATCCCAATTAGTTTGGTAATTTCGCCACAACCTCATCTATGTTGGCCAACTTAACATTGGTGATCTTGACAGGACAACCATTTTACTGAGCCTTTACCTGCAAAAATGTCAAATTCATCCAAAGGTTTCACCTGTACTCCTGCTGGTTTTTGTTGATCCCGGCACTGTGCTTTGAGTGAACGGATGAGCAGGTCAAGCTCAGATCCTCCAGGCCTCTGCAGAACAGAGACGATAGTTTAAAAAAAAACAGTATCGGAGATTTAGAGGAACATTTTCACCAATCTTAAAAGGGATAGTTCGCACAAATTATTATTCAGTCTCATGTCATTCCGTCGTTCATTCATCCTCGCAACATCCCAAAAGATATTTTTAATGAAATCTAAGAGATTTCTCTCCTTCCAATGAAAGTCTAGTCTTCCAGTTTAGTCCAAGTGAAGTCTTCTGAAGAGACTTGATCGTTTTATTTGATATACAGATTTAATTTCACATACAAACATTGATCAGCGTCTGAAACAAACAGAAGCTCAAACGTACGTACATGCAGGAACAAATCTCATTGGTTCTTGTGGAAGCTTAAACGTGCTGCGTAACACGCGAATGAAACCTCATTGGTTCTCGCAAGTCAAGCGAATGTCCTTGAGCTTCTGTGATCGAATTTGAATTCTGTAAACATTGCTTGCTGATCAATGTTGGAAAAGCAGCTTTAGATTAACACTCGAACCTTATGGATTTCTATTACGATCTCTTTAGAACCGCATTGAAGCATCTGAATAATAGACATTCCACAGATTGAATTAAAAATAGCATAATTTGTGTTTCAGATGATGAATGAAAGTCTTATGGGTTTTGAACAATTTTCATTTTTGGCTGAACTTCCCATATAAGATTCAGGAGCTATAATCAGACATGCTTCCTTACTTCAATACTTCAAAGTTGTGTATGGTGTCGTTCCAAAAGTACTTAGTGCTGTGGAGGGTAAAATAACGTATCTGTAATACAAAAAGAAAAGACACTTATTCAGTCACCAATGAAGCTTAACTATAGCGTTAAGTTAGTAAAAACTAGAATTTGTGTAGGAAGGATAAGACCGATTTGGTGCATAAAATACCTGCACATGCTGGTCCTCTTGATTCCTGGTGATTTTCTCAGGGGCGGAGTCAGAAGGGTTGTGGGCGTGGTCATTGGCCTGAGTGGAGGCGGTCTGAGAGGCCAGGTTGTCATAAGGGTTCTTCCCAGGGGCCAACATTATCCGAATTTTCGCTTGAAACCAGCGCTTAAACTCATCCTATGGACAAACAAACAGATTATAGCCAAACAACTAACACAAATTGTACTAGAATTATGACCGGCAGCCTTTTAGGTGACTCGGAGTTAAGTGTCATCAACCACTGAAGAGCATGATGTCTGAAGCATTCAGTAATTCATAATTATGTTAAAGACTTCAAGTTGAATTATTTGAAATATTTACTAATCTGCATAAAGGCACGTGCACAGATAACACTTTACAATAAGGTCTTATTTGTTAAAATTAATATATTAACTAACAACGAGCAATAGATTTGTTACAGTATTTATTAATATTTGTTAACATTAGCTAAATAAAATTAAAACTGTTCATCGTTTGTTCATGTTAGTTTAAGTTGTACATTAATACAATTTTTGAGTTTAATAACGCATTAGTAAATGTTAAAATTAACATCAAATAAGATTAATAAGTCAATAAATGTCTCAAAGTTTAATATTCATAATTATTTATTTATTGTTTATTCCTATAGGGGGATTCCTGTCTTATTAATAAAAAAACATTTATAGTATGTATTGTATACAATAAATACTTTAGATAAAAGTAAAAAAAGTATTTCCAGATACAATCCAGATTTAAAACGCATGATAACGTAAGGTTTTGTAGAGGTTTAAGACATACAGTGCTCCGTAAGAGGGCGACGTCTGCGTCTCTGACAGCGGTCCGTGTGCAGGTGGACTTCACACACCATTCAGGCATCCAATAGAGCAGCAGGAAAAGAAAACCGCCTGTACACAGACCACCTAAACACACCAGAACCAGCTTCCATCGGCACAGCCGATACCCGCTCAACTCCTGCGCAGAAAGAAAATCAAAGTGCCTTATAAGAGCGGGAAAAGCATAAAAAGGAAGGAGAAACAAAAATAATATGTACCATCTCATCCTCCAAATCCCTGTTGACAATCTTCAGGTCTTCCTTCTCCATCCTGATCTTCAGTCCTGGCTGGATGACTGCTGCACTCCTGCACACACACGCAGAGATCAGATCACACGCTAAGTGTGTGTTGTAGTGCAATAAGGATTGTGTGAGGCCCAACAACAGCTGTTATACCATTGCTTTGTACTGACAACCAGCTGACCTGAGATGACGCACAATCATGTGCACACGTAAACACAAACACTCGGAGAAGAACTTCCTGTGAGTCACGATCCTGAGCTCTACAGCGGAGAACCACGCTGAGAGTCTGAGAGCCAGACAACAGCTGTCAAACTAGTCAAACACAATTAAAAATGTCCCTCTAAACAGAATGAGATTTATAGGCACTGGGTCCAAAATGTAATTTTATCAACCAATGGTAGATGAGTATGCCATTTAAATATTTAAAAGTATTTTCTCTCACCTTAGTTTCACATTAAAACCAACCCTGCTCATATTTGTATGTTTGTGCCTTAAAGGGATAGTTCACCCTAAAATGAAAATTCTGTCAGTAATTACTCGCCCTCATGTTGTTCCAACCCTGTAAGACTTTCGTTCATCTTCGGAAACAAAAAATCAATATATTTTTATTAAAAGACTAGCTCACTTTTAAAAAAAAACTTTTGCTGATAATTTACTCACCCCCATGTCATCCAAGATGTCCATGTCTTTCATTCTTCAGTCGAAAAGAAATTAAGGTTTTCCAGGATTTTCTCCATATAATGGACTTCAATGGGAACCAAACAGTTCAAGGTTCAAATGAGTTTCAGTGCAAACTGTTCAAAGGGCTTTAAACGACACCAGACGATGAATAAGGGTCTTATCAAGAGAAACAATCGGTCATTTAAAAAATAAATAAAAAAGTTTAAGTTTTATAGACGAATCCGACGAGCGTTCTGTGTAGGCTGCCATCTTGTGGCGACGCCATTACTGAGCTGTTACACAGGCATATAGACGTATGCACTGGTATGTAAACAAACCTCGGTGATAACGCGAACTCACCCTCGATGACCGCTACAGCCAGGCAGAATGACTTGTTGGTTTGATCTGTGACTGCTGTGGCCTCCAGTCACAGATGAAGGTACAAACGATCTTACAGATTAACGTTATTTATGAAAATAGCTTGGCAAGCTAGCTAGGCTAACGTTTGCTAACGAGGAAACTATAAAAAGATCTGTCATTTGGCAACAATAAATAAATAAATGAATGAAATCAAATAAACAAATTTATGTTTTTCATTTGTGTCCTATTTATCTCATTTTCACATTGCAACAGGCAAATAGCAAGAGAGGAGATTTTGCTGATCACTATATCACATATTTATTATATATTTTTTACTTCTGTCATTAAATAATTGTTATTATACGCGAATGTCCACGTCTTGTACTCGCCCAGGAAATCTGTAAACCGTACGGCACCAGACAGGGGCAGTCGACCCGGGGTATTCACAGTGTTTTCGCTTCAAAATTGAAATTTTACTGCCACCATTGAAACAATTTATAACGGAAACTGTTTACCCACTCGACATTATACAAGGGATAACGTTGTAACGTTAGTGACAGTCGTAAATCGCGGGCTGTTTATTCCAGTGGACGCAAGTTGCAACTAAAACAATAGGAGGCAATGGTGCAACGCTACCCAGCAACAGCTCAGTAATGGCGCCCTGCTTACTTCCGGTAGTTTCGCCGGATTCGTCTATAAGCTCAAATGCTCGCCTTGCTCTGTTCTGCGATGAGCGTCCGTGACTCTTCCGTTCAAACTCGTTTATCAAAACGAACAAATCTTTTTTCGAGTCATGACTCGAAGGGTCCTAGATAAGACCCTTATTCATCGTCTAATTACTGACAGAATTTTCATTTTGGGGTAAACTAACCCTTTAATTTGAGAATTATGTCACACAATTATAGTTTTAAAACAAATAATAACAAACACGATTCAGACATCCAAGTTTCAGCAGAAACTTTTACAGTTTGACTTTTCAAACTGCCTATGTTTTACATTAGCAAAGGTCAAACTATTATTCTTACAAATCAGAATCCAACAAAAATAAAGCAACCACCCAACTGGAATGTTTATTTGCGCATTAAAGTTTTTGGTTTGACTGGTTCTTAATGGGCGCTCTTTTTTGACCTTGTATGCAAACACTTTCTATATGTGAAGTGAAGCTGTGGAACAGGTTAAGTTCAGTGCTTGAACAAAAAACTTAATGGTTAATGGTTGAATTTCATGTCTGTGCGATGGCAGTTGTCTTGAAGAGTGACAGGAATGTACAGTGTCCATGTGCACGTGTGTTGGGGAGTTGGGGATCGACAAAAAACACTGGTGTCAGTCAAGAGGCTCTCATTACAAACCACCAGCCAAACAAAGCAATGAATATTAGTTTCTGTTCCTCTCAATTCCAATTTCGTTTTAACTCCTACGGTGGCCAATGTAGTCCAAGATTAACATGGCTTCCGGTTCGACCTCGTCCATGAGTGTTAACGGAAACGCGAAAGGCGAAGCTTGAATTAACGGGTATGTCCCTCTTTGGCTAATGTACTTTCAAGATGGAGGGGCAACATGGCGACCGACATTAGAAGCCCTTACCCGTATGTATTTCCAATGGCATATTTTACACTTTATACTTTATTACTTGAACGAAGTAAATATACATTAATGAGCACATATATGTTTGAAAGAACTAAGTGTTTTTAGCTAAGAATAAACTAAAAGAGTTACACAGTGTAGCTTTAACACCAGCTGTAAACAGGGCCTAGAATGCAAATTGGGGCAAAAATATGAGCAAAAATCAGTCTCTTGAAAAGAAAACTTTGCTGTGAGTGTATGAGGGCCTATAGAAGGCAGCTCACTAGGTTTTGGAACCTGCTTAGAAGGGACGGCAGGGAGGAACCGAGTGCCATGGCTGGTGTGGTCACCTCAACAATAGGGCAACAGGGAGGCAGCATGGCAGAAAACAGGGAAAGTGTGTGAGTGTGTGTTAGACAGACGGGTGTCACTGCTCCCTGATCTTATCAGTCCCCCGCACCCGTACAACACACCACGGAAAGGGGAAACCCAACTCAGGGCCGAGCCCTTCCTACCATTCTAGAGCAGCTGCGATGTGGTCACATTCTGCTCTCAGCTACAATTTAGACGCGAATCGTGAATCCAACATGCTGCGCTTTTTTTCTTCCTTCCTCTCGAGCAGACTGTACGATGAATACAAGGAAACACCGCAATCATAAACCTGACAGGCCTATTTACTCAACCCACGTCAATGTGTCATGAAAGCAGTTATTTAGCGGACACTTCTTTTCCAGACAATCTTTCAGTCACAAACCCAAAGACATCTTGTGTAACTCTTTTAGTTTATTCTTAGCTAAAAACACTTAGTTCTTTCAAAAATATATGTGCTCATTAATGTATATTGACTTCGTTCAAGTAATAAAGTGTTCTCGTGAGTGTATAATATGCCATTGGAAATACATACGGGTAAGGGCTTCTAATGTCGGTCTCCATCTTGAAAGTACATTAGCCAAAGAGGGACATACCCGTTAATTCGAGCTTCGCCTTTCGCGTTTACGTTTGAGTTAACACTCATGGACGAGGCCCAACTGGAAGCCATGTTAATCTTGGACTACATGGGCCACCGTAGGAGTTAAAACGAAATCGAAATTGAGAGGAACAGAAACTAATATTCACTGGATGGTCATATACCTTTTCACCGCTAGATGGGGGTAAACATCACACAGTGTAGCTTTAAAACCAATTAATATCAGCAGGAGGCAGAGATGGAGTGAGTAAGCGAGTAAAGCGTCTTGGAGACGTTTCCCAAGTTCTTCTAGATTTTTTTTTTTCAGTTTTTTCTGTTTCTTGATGTAATCGTAGACGATGGTGAGATCAGATCTCTGTGTGGAGCATTGGCTCCTTGTGCATACAAAAATTTCACTGGATTATTACAATTAATGGCAGAATGAATGTTTGAAAATGTAAACTGATATTTCCTACTGAAACACTTCAGCAAAATATATACATAAGTGGTTTAAAACTAGCGGTGGAACGGATCACAGTTGATCCGTACGGACATGGGCCCACGGTTCAACTAGCTCCTTTAAATCAACTTTTAAATGGAGTTTGCTTGTCAAAATGAAACAACAAATGTGCAGTGCGTGCTTACAATAAACAAACTGCAATCCTTAAAGTTGCCTTTGCAGTTATTGTTCTAGGTGTGAACTCCCATTTCTAGGTTTACTCCAATTTAATTCAAAAACCTCTACAACTCAGAGCAGGAATTAAAGAAATAGTTCACTTCAATGACTTAAATGGAGTCCATCAACGGTCTGGTTACCGACATTCTTAAAAATATCCCTGAAGAAAGAAATTCATAGGTGAGTTCATGATGACAATTTTAATTTTGAAGTGAACTATTCCTTTAATACTGTTGACAGCTGTTATCCTGACCTAAAGCCACCATAAGACTCATCATTCTGAATACTTCTCAAGGCCGCTTTTGTCTTTCTTGAATCATGACAGCTCCTTGTTACTGTCACACACTTTTGTTGTAGCCTATAGGTATAGAGTAGCAAAAAAGTAATCAAAGGAAGGTGAATTCTTTCTAACAACATGTCCAAACCAGACGCAACACTGTGACACACAATAAAATATATCTTTCCAATGATAATCAGAGTTTTTGTCCCAACCAGCTGCGCTGGCGATATCCAAATATTCTATTTTAGAAATGGTTTCCATTTCTGCAACGTCATGGATGGAACAGCAACATATGACAATAATAACACCAAGTGCTTTATTTAATGTTAAAAGCATATAATGTGTGATCTTTAAAGCCAAACTGAAAGCGACAATGAATAACTCGCCTCAGACCTTGAAAATAAATTAGGAAAGAAACAAATATTGTTTCAGTCACTCAGTATGTAGTTTTAATAATAATAGAATTGTGTAATATTTATGATTTTGATTATGTACTAATCCATTTCGTTACGAGTGCAGTGCGCTTGCAAGAGAGGCTCCACCCACTCACTCTTCTGATTGGCTGTGATTTATGATTGATTGTGTCACGTCTTGTAGTCGCTTCGGGTGTGTAAAGCGAAATGATTTTAATGATTTCATAAATGATTTTATTTAGGAACAAAGCTAAATGATTTTGTGCACATTCACATTCCCTTACCTTCAGATTCTGAGCGCCGTGGCCCTGGGCAATCCTTTCACCTATAAAGAGGCCTCTCTTGTGTACACTCTCGCAGACGTGGACTCCTGGGAAGAAACAAAAGAGGAAATTGTTAGAATTTGGCGTATTTGGTCAATCTATTAGATTTCTCCAATACATAAAATAGGTAAGCTTGACCAGTTGTTGTGGGGAGAAGAATTTATTGAAGGTTTGTAGTGTAGCCAAGCGTGCCGCACAAGCCCTCACAAGTGAAGCCGAAACGTCTCGATCGCCCCCCTGTGGCCGGTCCTAGTATAGCTCATAACCCCCGCCTCCCCATGTTATTCAATGCGACGCGAGACCAACTAAACAATTAAATTACACTTCACATATCCTTTTTCCAAAGATAGTTTCTGTCATTTACTGTAGTTTCTATCCCGTTGATGTAATTTCAAGTGTTCGTTTTTAAAATAAGTTTGTTTTTAGTTAGTTATGTGATGATAAAAACGGCGCTCTGACATCATGATTGACAGGTTCTCTGTGTGAGGTAGTCACTGAAGCACAAGCAGACTTTTTTTACGTAATAATGTTGATTATGTGGTTAGTAGTTGTATTTACCTTTTTTAACGAGGTTCTGCAATCGGCAGACATCATTGGAGAAGAACGAAGCAGACAGAAGCCACTTAATGAAAGTGCGGGGCGTGTGCTTGCGTTTGATTCAGTGAGAATGAGGGCGCGGCCTTGATTTCGCGGCTTTACTTCCTGCTCACGACTGCGAATGTCTGGTCCCGAAAAGGGCAAGTGCGCAGACTCAAGTTCCAAGATATCAGCGTCGTATCGAGACACTGGCGGCTTCAGTTCTCTCTGATGGAAAAGAGCGTCGTCCATCTTTTTTTACAGTCTATGAGTGTAGCAGTCCAAATAGTTCTGAGTGCAAATAAATATTTATTAATTTTGGATGCAAATAAATATTTAGTCATTTATTAATTTGAGCACAAATGTTAATCCCTCAATGCGCAATGCAAAAAAAAAAACAGCTGATAAAGTCTGACAGCTATATTTCACAAAGCCCGTCTGACAAGCTCGTCCGGCATGCATGGATTTCTTCAGCTGTCTGATATCCTTACTGATTGATTTTCAAAGTTTTCAGAGAGAGCTGCATCCGCTGAGTCAGTATTCTGCAGGTAGCTCCATTTACAAGCCAGTTTCACAAGAACGCTCTCTGGGGCGTACATTAATAACAGTTTCGTTTATGTTATGTTACAAGCTATGTTTTAATAGCAGTTTCTTGTTGAATCCGGCATTGGATTGGTGGAGATTCTGGAAGCTGTCTTATGTAAAATGCACAGCACAGAGAGCTAAATTACAATTGTAATTTTCAGGAACATAATCAAACATAAATTTGAGCCATTATTGAAAACAGAAGATCTGACAGCTGGGTGAAAATAACACGCATTCGACGGCATGGCTTCCTCTTCGACAAAGCAGCAGAAATATGGCCTCTTTTTTGCATATTCCAGAGGGAGAGTTGAGTAAATTTATAGGTTACTTACGTAGAAAACCTGGAAAATATCTCGTTGTAGTCCCATTCGAGTCGTTTTTGTAGGCATTAAACTCCCTGATTTTTAAAAGACGATATCTCTGCTTACAACTTTGCAGATACTATTCATGCACCACCAGCAACATTACACACTATTTATAATGATGAATGTGACGTCTCAATAAACCACCCCTTTAATCACAGCCTGTTTTGTTTCCCGCTGCATTGGGTCACTATCGCTTTGACTTTACTCCTCTTTAGGACAGCATGACTCCAGTATCACAGTGTTCATAAGTTAAGGAGGAAAATGCTCTCGAACAATGACGGAGAAGTCTCGTGGCATATTCGCTGATAAGAAGTAAGAAGATAGAGAGTAAGGGTTTAATAATTAGATGGCCTTCAACAATGGAGTTAACCGTTGGGTAAATGTGTCACAATAAAGGCGTGTTTTGTTGCATGATTTATTCTGAAGTCATAAAGATAAAAGAGCAGGAGAAAATTATACGACGGTGAGGAAAAAAATAAGTTACATAAACACAACATTAATCTGACACAGAAAAACACATTCAAATCAGACTTTATAAAACGAGCTGGAAAGTTGATTTTGATCCACTATTGATTTACCAAGTTTCTCACAAAGTCCAAGAAATGTAAAAATCCCCCTATTTTCTGTAGGAAACCACCAGAATCCCTAACTTTTCTCATCAGCCTATCTATCTTATATAAAATATAATAGATAAAAACAACATAATGGACATTATTGTGGTTGACAGATGTCAATTTTGGACCTTGAACCAAAACAATCTATAAAACCCTTAAAAATATGATTTAAAAACCCACAAGAAGATACTGTGGCAGTACCATAGTAAAGCAATGACACTAAATATATATTGTGGTACGGAATGATCACCACAATATTTATATAAAAATATAATCTACACAGTACTCCAAATATTTCAAATAACATAATTTAGCCTACCAATTTAACCAAGGTCAAAAACAGACAATTTTAAATGTAAGATTATTGAGATTGTTTTGTGGATGTGTCAATTTTGAACTTTGAACCAAAACAACTGATATCATAAACCCCTTAAAAATTTGATTTAAAAACCCTGAGATAATGTGACAGTACCAAGCGATGACACTAAATATAGGCCTGTATACCATATCATGAATGATTGATGACCACATATATATAGTCATAATAAAATGTAGCCTGGGTTTCCCCATGCTGCCTTGCCGTGGCACGATTTTATTCACGCTGCTAGGCAGCCTGGACACCATGAACCAAATTTTCGCCTAAGATAGGGAACCAATCACAGAACGGGGAGGGAGCAGCAAGACGATGACGACGTATATGCGACACACCGAAGCAGTTTGTTTATATCTATGGACCCATATGGCAGAGGACGCGAAGTTACCTTTTGATACGACAACATATCGGCTCCACTGATTTGCAGAGGGGGGATTTAAAGCTGTTCCCTTTTACTGGTGGTTCACTTTTTTAATTTTTACTTCATACAACCTAACTCAAATTATTGTGTCCAATTATTGATTTATTTGGTAGGTAGCCATGTTATAAGTGGGAAAATTGTGTAGTGAGGAGGCGATTGTTACAGCGAATACAAACCCTTCAGACTGATTCAAGAACAATTCCGCTTCGCGTTGGAGTTCGCGGGGTTGTATTCGCTATAGCCGTGTCACTATACATTATCCCTTATACTTTATTTATTTATTACTATGAGGGCTGACAAGACAAAATAAGGACTGTCAAGTGTGTTTAAACAATGCGGTACAACAACCAAACCAGTAGCACTACCATTTTTGACCTCACTTGTACGAATTAATACAATTTTGCTAAATCGTACATATTTTACGAATTAGCCAATTCGTATGAATTCATACGAATGACCTACCCCTGACCTCGCCCCTAAACATAACCGTCACGTGGGTTTAGACAAATCGTACAAATTCATACGAGTAAGGTCGTATGAATTAGTACGAATTAGCCACTTTTGAATCACTCGTACGAATTGGTCATGAGATAGCGTAGGGCATTCGTAAACAACATGTGGTTTTCAGACCACGTCTCATTCTCAATGATACGTGGTCTGGCGTTAGCCAGGCTAAATAAAATGTCTTTTCATTGGTATTTGCAAAGTACTTAAAAGAATATCATAATTTTACCAAGGCCAATAATTATTTTCAATATTTTCCCATATTACATTTTTAGAGAGGTTTAGGTTTCTACCTACAGTAATTGTCAAAGTCATAAAGTTTTGGGGGAAAAACAATTCTGAAAGTTTGATGGAGAGCCCATACTCATAAATTTACAGAACCTGTTAAAAACAAAAAACTTAGTTACTATGATATTTGAGCAGAAAGTACAAAGGGGTCTCTGGTTTTTACAGAATAATCTTGTTCCTCTTTCAGGTCCTCAATTTACGTTATTGGTCATTCAACTTGTACATTAAATGTTAGCTTTAATATTCAACATAATAAATAGGAAATACGCTTCAAAGTCCTCTAAAAAGCTTACTGAAAAAGCTCAGCCAACTCTAAAAACATTTGAGTCTCCAACACCAACAGGGCAAAGCTGCTTGACTCTTAGCTGGTCAAGCGGTTCACTAATTCATGGGCACATTTCTTGCCATCATTCAGAGAACAACAAATGTGTACTTTTCTCATGCATTTTTGAAGCGATTCTTCTGTAGTCAAGGACGGCGGCGAAAAATCCTCTAATCCGATTGCGGTCAATAACTCGGGTGAAGAAAGTATGATCAAAGTAGTGACAGAAAGAAAGAAAAAATTCTTACATTTTAAAGCTCTTGCCCATGAGAAATTCTCACAGATCGTTATTTAACCGCGCAGTGATCCTGTTTAACAAGGTGCAAATGAGCAGTTCAACAAAAACATCTGATTGTGATTCACTCTAGTGTCAAAGTGTAAACCAAGAAAAACAACAACAGAATAAAGTCATTCATGTTATGATATTTACAGTTTACAGCCAATATCACTGCAAGATAAAGCCGAGCATAGCCTACCAGTAAAGTTCTTATCTTCTCCTTTAGCAATTATCCAGTTAAGAGACTATAGTGCAATCAAAACTCATTCTGAGAACCTTTCATGCAAGATCGTACTACGGTTGACTTATAGCTGATGGCAAGATGATGATGATGATGGCGAGACGGGAGGAAAAAAGTGACAGCATATGGAGGAGGTGTCAATTGAGAAAGAAGCGGTCTTAAAAAAAATTGGTGGTGGGCAGAAATAAAAGCCAAAAGATCAAATGGAAAAGTGGACCACATGGTCTTGGATTAGCAACACCCATTGTGGATGGCGCTTGGGAAAGAAAAACCTGTAGAGAAGACCGTCAAGAGATTACATCATGATTTGATATGTAATGCTTCCAGTTTCAAAGTTCTGCAGCCTAGAGTAAATTACCCTTCATAAAAGTTAGTTCCTTCAATTTTAGGTGCGGTACGCAACCTTTATCAATCTGTAAGTATAACGAGGTTAAACGAGGTCTTTGTATTAAACTTGATTCATTATGAATTAAAAAAAATC